TTTTTTTTTTAGAGACAGGGTGTTGCTCTTTTGCCTAGGCTGGAGTACAGTGGTGCTGTCATTCATAGCTCACTGCGGCTTTGAACTCTGGCTCAAGTGATCCTCCTGCTTCAGCCTCTTGAGTAGCTGGGATTATAGGCATGTGCCACCAAACATGGATAATTTTTAAATTTTTTTTAGAGGAAAAATATAGGGAGGCTAGCTGTTTTTGTTGCCTAGGCTGGTCTCAAACTCTTGGCCTCAAACGATCCTCCTGCCTTGGCCTCCTGGGTCATGGTGGCTTTGATTTCCCTTTCCCTAACGCCTAATGATTTTGAGCATCTTTTTGTGTTTTTATTGGTCATTTGTGTATCTTCTTTGGAAAAATGTCTATTCAGATCCTTTATCCATTTTTAAAATTGGGTTATCTTTTTATTATTGAGTTATAAGAATTCTTTATATATTCTAGATATAAGTTCCTACTATATATATGTGATTTTTAAATATTTTCTTCTTTTCTGTGAGCTGTCTATTCACTTTCTTGATGGTGTCCTTTTTTTTTTTTTCCCGAGACAGAGTTTCATTGTGTCACCCTCAGTAGAATGAGGTGGCATCACAGCTCACAGCAACCTTAAACCCGTAGGCTTAAGCAATTCTCTTGCCTCAGCCTCCCAAGTAGCTGACACTACAGGCACCACTGCAACGCCTGGCTATTTTTGTTGCAGTTGTCATTGTTGTGTAGCAGGCCCATGCCAGCTTCAAATCCACCAGTCTTGGTAGATGTGGCTGGTGCTGTAATCACTGTGCTATGGATGCCAAGCCCTTGATAGTGTCCTTTGAAGCACAGAAGCTTTTAATTTTAATTGATGATGTACAGTTTAATGTAACTGTGTGTAATGATGTACAGTTTACCTGTTTTTCTTTTGTTGACCCTTATTTTGGTGTCATATATAATAATATGTTACCAAGTATAAGGTCATAAACATTTTCCCCCATGTTTTCTTCTAAAAATTTTATAGTTTTAGCTTTTCCCTGTAGATCTTTGAGGTATTTTGAATTAATTTTTATGTATAGTGGAAGGTAAGGGTACAACTTCATTCTTTTGCCATGTGACTGTCGAGTTGTCCCAGCTCCATTTGTTGAAAAGATGTACTTTTCCCACTGATGGATGGTCTTGGCACCTTTGTCAAAAATCAGTGACAGTAGAGCAGTGGTTCTCAACCTTCCTAAGGCTGCGGCCCTTTAATACAGTTCCTGTGGGTTGCGACCCATAGGTTGAGAACTGCTGCCGTAGAGGTTTGGATTAACTTCTGGACTCTCAGTTCTAGTCCGTGGGTCCATATGTCCTCATGCCTGTACTATCTTGATCATTGTTGCTTTGTAGTGGTTTTGAAATTGGAAAATTTGAGTCTTCCTATTTTGTTCTTTTTTAAAGATTAGTTCAGGTATTTTCGGTCTCTTGCATTTTATATGACTTATCCATTCCTACAAAGAAGTCAGATGGGATTCTGGATAGGGATTGCACTGAACCTGTAAACTGGTTGCCTCTTAACAATGTTAAATCTTCCAATCCATGAACATAGGATGTTTTTCCACTTAGATCTTCTTTCATTTCTTTCAAATATGTTTTATACTTTCATTACAAGTTTTGTACTAGTCTTATAACAATTATTTCTAAATATTTTACTCTTTTTATGCTATAATGAATCAGATTTTCTTAATTTAATTTTTTAGATTTTTCATTGCAAGTATATAAAAATACATTTTTATATGTTGATCATGTATCCTATAACATTGCTGGACTCATTTATTCATTTGAATAGATTTTTAGTGGATTCGTTGGTATTTTTAAACCTGTAAATAGGTATAATTTTACTTCTTCTTTTCCAAGAAAAGATGTGATGTCTTTTATTTTGCAATATAGATTTCTTCTTCTTCTTCTTCCTCCTCCTCCTTCCTTCTTTTTTTGGAAACAGAGTCTTTTTTTTTTGCCCTTGGTGGAGTGCCGTGGCTGGGCACAAGTGATTCTTTTGCCTCAGCCTCCTGAGTATCTGAGACTGCCATAATGCCCAGCTATTTTTAGAGATGGAGTCTTGCTCTGGCTCAGACTGGTCTTGAACTCATGAGCTCAAGCAATCCACCCACCTTGTCCTCCCAGAGTGCTAGGATTACAGGTGTGAGCGACTGTGCCTGGCCCATATTTCTTCTTCTTGCCTGATTGCTCTGCCTAGAAACTTCAGTATAATGTTGAATAGAAGTGGTCAGAGCAGATATCATTATCTTGTTCTTAGGCAGAAAGCATACAGTCTCATCATTAAGTATGATGTTAGTTGTGGGGTTTTGGTAGCTACCCTTTATCAGGTTGCAGAAATTCCCTTGTCATCCTAGTTTATTGAGCGTTTTCATCAGGAAAGGGTGTTGGTTTTTTTTTTTTTTTGAGATAGAGCCTCAAGCTGTCCTGGGTAGAGTGCCGTGGCATCACAGCTCACAGCAACCTCCAACTCCTGGGCTCAAGCGAGTCTGCTGCCTCAGCCTCCCAAGTAGCTGGGACCACATGCACCTGCCACAATGCCTGGCTATTTTTTGGTTGCAGCCGTCAGTGTTGTTGGTGGGGCCTGGGCTGAATTTGAACCCACCAGCTTAGCTGTATGTGGCTGGCACCTTAGCCACTTGAGCCACAGACGCTGAGCTGGATGTTGAGTTTTGTCCAATGCTTTTTGTGTGTCTCTTCATATGATCATGTGATTTTTAAAGAATTCTATTAGGATTACATCAATTGAGTTTTGGATATTGAACCAACCTTGTATTCTTGGGATGAATTCCACATGGTCATTGTGTATAATTATTTTCATACATGGATGGATTCAGTTGGTTAGTATTTGGTTGAGAGTTTTGTGTCCTTATTCATAAGCAGTATTGGTTTTTAGTTTTCTTTTGGTGCCTTTGTCTGTTTTTGGTATCTGAGTGGTACCTCATGGAGTAAGTTGGAAAGTATCATCCCTTGGTCTATTTTTTGGAAGAGTTTGTGTATTATTAGTATTAATTCTTTAAATGATTGGCAGAATTCAGTGGTGAAGCCATTTGGACCTAGGCTTTTTATTATGAGTAGTTTTAGGGCTGTTTTGTTTTGTTTTTAAGAGACAGGGTCTCATTCTGTCACCCAGGCTGGAGTACAATGGCATAGTCACAGCTCACTGCAGCCTCAAATGATCCTTCCTGCCTGAGCCTCCCAAGTAGCTAGGACTACAGGTATGTGCCATCCTGTGCAGCTAACTTTTCTGTTTTCTTATGGTTACTGTGTTGCCCAAGCTGGTCTCAAACTCTTGGCCTCAAGTGATCCTCCTGCCTCACAGCCTTCCAAAGTGCTGAGATTACAGGCATAAACCACCACACTTGGCCTTCTTATTTTTATTACCAATCAATCCCTTCAATTCCAGTGTAGGCAGATTATCTATTTCTTCTTAAGCTAGTTTTAATAGATTGTGCCTCACTAGGAATTTGTCCATTTCATTCAAATTAACAAATTTGTTGGGGAACAGTTATATCCCTTTATAGTCATTTTTATTTCTATAAGATCAGTAGTGATGTCCTTCTGTTTAATTTATGATTCTACTAATTTGAGTCTTCTTTCTTTCTGTCCCTTGGTCAAACTAGTTAAATGTTTGTCACATTCATTGAAGTTTTCAAAGAACCAGCTTTGGTTTCAGTAATTTTCTCTATTGTTTTTCTGTTGTCCAAGTTTATTAACTTTCACTCTGATATTTATTATTTTTTCTTTCCGTTTGCCGTGGATTTAGTTTGCTCTTTCCTCAGCATTTTTTTTTTTTTTTTTTTTTTGAGATGGAGCCTCAAGCTATCCCCCTGGGTAGAGTGCCATGGCATCACGCTCACAGCAACCTCCAACTCCTGGGCTCAAGCGAGTCTCCTGCCTCAGCCTCCCAAGTAGCTGGGACCACAGGCGCCCGCCACAACGCCTGGCCATTTTTTGGTTGCAGCCATCATTGTTGTTTGGCGGGCCCGGGCTGGGGATTCGAACCCGCCACCTTAGGTGTATGTGGCTGGCGCCTTAGCCGCTTGAGCCACAGGCGCCGAGCCTTCCCCAGCATTTTAATGTGGAAGGTTAGGTTATTGATTGGTGATCTTTTTTCCTATTTACCCATTTTATCTTTTTTTCACTTCTTTCATCTTTTTATCTTGTGGTTTCTATTTTTCTTTCTTTTTTTTTGAGACAGAGTCTCAGGCTGTTGCCCTGGATAGAGTGCCATGGAATCACAGCTCATGGAAACCTCAAACTCTTAGGCTTAAGCAATTCTCTTGCCTCAGCCTCCGAAGTAGCTGGGACTACAGGTGCCCACCAGACACCTGGCTATTTTTTGGTTGTAATTGTCATTTTTGTTTCGCAGGCCCAGGCTGGATTCGAAGGCCCACAGGCGCCGAACCTTCTCATTAAGTTTTGATATGTTGTGTCTTCATTTCTATTCTTCTCAAAGGATTTTCTGATTTCCCTTTTAAGATACTCTTTGAGCTATTGGTTATTTAGGAGGGTGTTATTTGCTTTCTACATATTTGTGAGCTTCCAAAAAAATTTTTTTTACTGTTTTCTAATTCCATTGTGGTTGAAAAACATACTTTTCATGACTTCTATCATTTCAGTTTTATTGAGGTTTCTTGGTCTAGCATGTGGTCTGTCCTGAAGAATGTTCCATGTACCCTTGAGAAAAATATGGATTCTGGGTTTTTGTTTTTGTTTTATTTTGGATTAATATGAAGGTATATATGATTAGCTTATGTTGCTTATGTTTATAAGGTAAAGTCCCAGATGTACACATGTTCACTTGGGAAGTGTGCCTTTTCCACTATGCATTGTTCCCTTTGGGTGGGAACTTCCAAATCCCAATCTTGCCCTCTTCCTTCTTGAATTTAATTGAGTTTTTCTCTTACGTGGGTCTGTGGTTGTTAATGTACTCACTTCAATTTAGTATTCAGTACAGGAGGATGCCTAATTTTCCATCCTTGTGATACTTACAATCCTTTCAGGTTGTCACAAAAGATATGAAATCTCTGTATTTTTTATGGCTACATAGTATTCCATGGCATATGTATACCACAGTCCATTCATGGGTTGAAGGGAATTTAGGTTGTTTCTACATCTTTGTGACTATGGATGGAGCTGCAATAAACATTCGGGTACAGTTGTCTTTATGGTAAAATAATTTCTTTCCTTTTGGGTAGAGATCTAGTAAGGGGATTTCTGGGTCAAATGTGGAAAGTCTATTTTTTTTTTTTTGTAGAGACAGAGTCTCACTTTGTTGCCCTTGGTAGAGTGCTGTGATGTCATAGCTCACAGCAACCTCCAATTCCTGGGCTTAAGTGATTCTCTTGCCTCAGCCTCTTGAGTAGCTGGGGCTATAGGCACCTGCCACAACTCCCGGCTATTTTTTGGTTGCAGTTCAGCTGGGGCCAGGCTTGAACCTGCCACCCTCGGTATATGGGACTGGCACCCTACTCACTGAGCCACAGGTACCACCAGGAAAGTCTATTTTTAGTTCTTTGAGGACTCTCCATACCTCTTTCCATAGAGGCTACACTAGTTTGCAGTCCCACCAACGATGTGTGAGTGTTCCCTTCTCTCTGCACCCATGCCAACATCTGCAGCTTTGGAACCTTGTGATATGGGCCATTCTCACTGGGGGTTAGGCGATATCTTAAAGTGGTTTTGATTTGCATTTATCTGATAATTAGGGCAATGAACAATTTTTCATGTGTTTGGTGGCCGTTCATCTGTCTTCATGAGAAAAGATTCATGTCTCTTGCTCAGTTATTAATAGGGTTGTTTGTTCTTTTCGTGTTGATTTGCTTGAATTCACTAGATTTTGGTTATTATCCTTTTGTCAGAAGATACTGTCAAAGTGAATATCTTCTCCCCTTCCCAAGAAGGTTGTCTTTTGTCATTGGGGGGAATGCTCTGAGGATAAAAATGCCTGTAAAATCTAGTTAGCTTATTATGTTGTCCCTAACTTCTGCTTCTTTGTTAATCTTCATGTCCTTGTTCCGTCATTGAAAGTGGGCTGTTGAAGTCTCCAGCTGTTATTGTTGAATCAGATGTACTTTCAAACTTTTTATGATGGAAAATTTCAAATATACACAGAAGAAGAGATAATGTACCTACTCATCACCCAGCTTTAACGTTTATCAACATTTTATAATATCAATCTTATTGAAAGACCAGGCACAGTGGCTCACTCCTGTAATCCTAGCACTCTGGGAGGCTGAGGCAGGTGGATCCCGTGAGCTCAGGAGTTCGAGACCAGCCTGAGCAGGAGCAAAAGATTCTGTCCCTAAAAAATAGCTGGTGGGCGGTACCTATGGCTCAAAGGAGTAAGGCGCTGCCCCCATATGCCGGAGGTGGTGGGTTCAAACCCAGTCCTGGCCAAAAACTGCAAAAAATAAATAAATTAATTAATTAAATAAATAATAGCTAGGCATTGTGGCAGGCGCCTGTAGTCCCAGCTACTCAGGAGGCTGAGGGAAGGCAAGAGAATCACTTGAGCCCAAGAGTTTGAAGTTGCTGTGAGCTATGATGACACAGCCCTCTACCGAGGGAGACAAAGTGAGATTCTGTCTCAAAAAAAAAAAAATTTTATTGACTCTCTCCTTCTTCACCTTTTTTTCCCTGGAGTATTTTAAAGCACATCCCAGATGTTATATTGTTTCAACAGTAAATGCTACTGCCCATGACTCTGAAAATAAGGATTTTTTTAACCCGGCCCCAACACTGTTACCACACCTAATGAAATTAACAGTAATTCCTCTGTAGCTTCTAGTCCCCAGTTCTATCCATGTCCTTCTTTAAGGCCCCTTCATGTTTCACCATGGGAAGGGACCCTGGGACTTGGGCAGGCTAATCAGAGGGGAAGGCTTTGAAAGGGAAGGCTTTGTCCAGGGTGTCTGGATGCAGGTCCTCATGAGCTCCTGTTTGGTCTGTTTCAGGAACAAATGTGGTATCTGGGGATGGCGGTCTGAGAAGATGGAAACTGTTAGCGGCTACGAGGCCAAGGCAGGAGAGGCTAGTGGCGGGGGGCTGGGGGCAGGAGATGAGGCCCAGCAACTCAGCTACTTCTCCACATCCACCCAGAGGATGGAGGGGAGAGATGGCATAGCCCTTGGGCCCCAGAACCCTGAGTAGCCAGGGGAACTTATGGGACCCAAGTGCCCAACCCCTGCTGAGTTTGTAGGGATCACCTTTAAAGTTTTGGTTCCCACCCAGAGAACCAAATTTCATCTTCACCCCGGGGCTGTATATCCTCACTGGAGATCTTGCCACCTCCTCCACTGTGGGAGCAAGATCTCGCCTGTCTCTGGGAACAGGAGGACTTAGGTCCTGTGCTGGTGAGACTGAGCATGGGAAACAGGCTCTGAGCTTATTTCCCCACCTCCCCAGGTATACAGTGCCACCAATGTGGAGCTAGTGACACGCACACGCACAGAGCACCTCTCTGATCAGGACAAGTCAAGGAGCAAAGGTAAACCCAGGTGCGCCTACCTGCCTGCTGCCCAGTCACACTGTCTGTTGGGGTCACCCCGGTCTGGGGTCAGGGGCCAGTGTTTTCCAGGGAGGCCTCCCATTCCATCTGTCCCCTCTCCCACCTGATGGAAGATTCCCAGGGGAGAGGGTCAGTGGTGCAGTTGAGGGAAGTGGCCCCAGATCCCCTCATGGGCTCCACCCCTTCTCCTTAGGGGGGAAGACTCCGTTCCAGTCCTTCCTGGGGATGGCCCAGCAGCACTCCTCCCACAATGGGGTGAGCCACCACTGGGGTGGGGTGGAGCCGGCAAGGGCTGAACCTGAGTGGGTAGGGCACTGTCTGTCTGTCCCAGGCGCTAAGTCTGGTCCTGGGGCCTACCCAGGTCCCTGTGCAGCAGGCAGCCAGCCCCACCAACCCCACAGCCATCTCCCCTGATGAATACTTTGACCCCAACTTCAGTCTGGATTCAAGGAACATTGGCCGCCCCATCGAAATGTCTAGCAAAGTACAGAGGTGAGTGGGCTAGCTGGGGGTCTTCCTCAGAGCTGGGGACCCTGCCTGCAGCCCCTGAACCCTTGTAGATTCCTGTCACACACGGGCCCATCATAGTGAGGGTCCTGCTCACTCAGATGTCTGCTCTCTGCACTGTTCTCCTTGAGGGCAGGAACAACATCTGTCTTATCCATGGTCCTCAGCACCCAGTAGGGTGAGAACCAGAGAACCAGCCACAATCTTTGATGGATGAATGAATGAGTGGGTGGCACCACCACATATGGTTTTCTATTAAATTTAATGAGCACCTGCTGGGGGCCGGCACCTGGCAAAGTGGGATGGGCCTATACGACAGCCCTACAGCTCTGCCGATTCCCTTCTGTGTGGCCCAAGATGTTTCCCGCTCTGAGAGTCTATTTCCTCCTCTGTGAAATAAAAACAGTCACACCTGCCCACCTGGCTCATGAGGACCAGATGAACTGGTGTAAGTGGCAACAGTGGATGGAGCACCTGCAATAGGCCCAGTGCTCCCCGGCAACCCCTCCCAGTAATGGGGCTGGGGTTCAAACCCTGCCAATCCTTCCCTGGCTGTGCTGGACACAAAATCACAGCAACATATGAGGTGGTATCCAGCTCTGGGCTGAAGAGGAGGACAGGTCTGTGGACTGGGCCTAGAAAGATGCCCACAGCTTGGCCCCTGCTCTCCTTACCCAGACCAGACAAGCTGTCACAAAACATAATGATCTCCATTCTGGGGGTAGCTTAGGCTGTAGTGAGAGGACACTGGTTCTTGGGGGAGGCAGGCAAGAGCTACTGAGCAGAAGAAGGTGCCCCAGGCAGAGTGGGAGGTATGAGTAAAGGCAGGTGACCAGAGAGCTAGAGAGGACAGGCCTTAGCAGGAGGGCCTTGACTCACGCTGTGTGGTTGGCTGGGCAGGTTCAAGGCAACACTGTGGCTGAGTGAGGAGCACCCACTCTCCCTGGGAGACCAGGTGACACCTATTATTGACCTGATGGCCATCAGCAATGCCCATTTTGCCAAGCTGCGTGACTTCATCACTCTGCGCCTCCCACCCGGCTTCCCTGTCAAGATTGGTGAGAGAGTAGGGTCCAGGCAGCAGAGGACTTCAGCACAGTCACTTCCCCTTGACACAGGCCCTGGGGACAGGGGTGGACACAGTGCAGGGGGCAGGTGCAGGGATCCCTGCCAGGGCAGTTCAGGCTTGGCTGTCTCCTGTTTCCTCACAGAGATTCCCCTTTTCCATGTGCTCAATGCCCGCATCACCTTCAGCAACCTGTGTGGCTGCGACGAGCCCCTGAGTTCGGTGTGGGTGCCAGGTCCAGGCTCTGCAGTGGCAGCTTCAGGTACCCGCACGGGAGGAAGAGGGAGGCTGCATGACTATCTGGTTGCAGAGCTCTGGGGTTGAGCACAGCCCCTCTGCCATCTGCCTAGGGAGCCCTTTCCCATGTGAGGTGGACCCCACTGTGTTTGAGGTGCCTGAGGGGTACAACGTGCTGGGCGCAGAGCGCAGTGAGCCCCTTCGCGATGAGGATGATGACCTGCTGCAGTTCGCCATCCAGCAGAGCCTGCTTGATGCAGGCACAGAGGCGGAGCAGGTGGGACTTGGGCAGGGCTGGGCCCTGGCGTCTGCAGCCACAGGGCAAAGATGACAGCTGTGCACTCTGGCATTTGTAGGTGACTGTCTGGGAAGCCCTGACCAATACGCGATCTGGCACCTACCCTTCTTCCCAAGCCGCAGTTTACGAGGAGCAGCTTCAACTAGAGCGGTGAGGCCCTCGTGGGACCTCCTGGGTCCCTGTCACTTCGCCTTGGCCCGAGGGTGGGGATGGGTAGCAAGGAGGTGCTGGGCCCAGGACCCCACGCCCATTCCAGGCCACCTCCATCAGCAGTACTGGCTGCCACCAAATGTGGCATGAGGGACTAGGGTACAGGGCTCTGCCTCTTCTCACTTCCACCGGGTCCTTGTCCTCCAAAGCCACATCCCCAGCTCCTTGGCTTCTCCCTCCAGCCTTAGTGGTAATGGGACTGCTGTCCCCTCTCGTGCCTTACCTGCAAGGGCTCTCCAGGAAAGCCTGCAGCTGTCCACAGAGCCCGGGGGCCTGGGAGTCCCTCAGAGAACACCCGCAGCCCCTGCCCCCCCAAGCTTTGAGGAGCAGCTTCGCCTGGCCCTGGAGTTGTCCTCACGGGAGCAGGAGGAGCAGGCGCGGCGGGGGCAGCAGGAGGAGGAAGACTTACAGCGAATACTGCAGCTGTCACTCACAGAGCACTAAGCCTGGCCCCCAAGAGGGCTGACCAGGGCCACGCCCACCTCCACTTTTGTAATTTATTTATTTATAAACTGCTGCTGAGCTGGGGCCTCGGCATGGTTTTACAGTGGAAATGGAAATAAAGACACGATCAGCAGCAGGCTTGCTGTGCTTAATGGTCTGAAGCCAGGGGCACACTTTCCAGTGGGGCGCTAAGGGGAGACACCATGGAACACAGTATCAGACCAGGGTTTGAATCCTGCCCTTGAGCCTCTCAGAGCTTCCATTTCTTCAGCTGTAAAATGAGACCACTCCTACTCCTGGCAGGGCTGTTGAGAGGGTGAAAGGAGCCAACCCAAGTCAGGTGACCTCATAGAGCACATCCTTGGACGTCAAGGGCCTCTCCCCTGAGCCCTGCCCTACCCACTGGAGACCCAGGTTCTTTCTGCCACCCCACCTGGCCTTCCTGGAACCTGACCCATACTCCTCTTGGGGAAGGGGAAAGACTGGGCCTCTGGACCGTATATGCAGCCAGCTGAGAAGAACCCCTACTCCCTGTGGCCCCTGTCCTGACTCCAGCATGTTCCAGCAGAGTCACTTCGGGCAGGTCACTTCCCTCTGCCGCAGCTGTGATTCGGGCTCAGCCCTGCCCTGCTCACTCCCAAGGTAGACCTGAGAATCTCTTGAGAACTTGGGGGGGGGGGTATTTCCGAATCCCAGGCTGATTTCCCCAGAAGCTTTGCATGTCTCCCAGTGGTTCATGGGGAGAGCAAACACATGATGGCAAACCAGCAAGAGAAGTAAGTGGGAGGAGGGACCCCTGACTGAATATCCACTGTGGATGGTCCTAAGACTTGTGTCCCCAGCCCCTGCCTCCCGTCAGCCCATTTTGCTGGGCAACAAAACAGTTGAAGCTCAAGCAGCTCAAGTGATTTAGGGGCGTGGAGGGCAGGGGCTAGGGCTGGGGCTGGGGCGCTTCCTGGGAGGAGAAAGGACCAGCCCAGGAACTAGGGCGGCCGGCGGTCGGCCCCGCCCACTCTCCGGTGTGTGGGCTGCGCACCTGCGCCCCGCCCCCGGCCTCGCCCCCTGAGCGCATGGAGGGGCGGGGCAAGGCAGGCGGAACAGCAGAGCCCCGAGAGGCGGGGCCGGCCTCGGTGAGCCGGCTCCGCGGGGCCCACTGGGCGGGTGTCTGTCCCTTTAAGGGCCGCCCCCGAGGAGGTGCCAGGCCCTGGTAGCTCCGCTTTCCTTCCTGGTCCTGCGGGGCTGGATTGTTCGTGGGGCTGTGGCCGGGGACCGTGTCTAGTGCCCATCCAGGTGCTGCTAGCCCGGCCCCATGGCCCTGGTCACAGTGAGTCGCTCACCCCCGGCCAGCGGCCACTCTACGCCTGTGGGGCCCACGGTGAGTCTGGCTTTGCTGTGGTCCTGCCCACGCACTTGGCTGCCAGCTGGGCCTTAGGGAGCGCGTCCTGCCCGCCCGCGGGCTCCCTTCAAGCCTGGTCCTCAAGTCTCTGGCTGGAGGGAGTCGGGAAAGGGTTGGAGGTTCCCAGGACCTCGGACCAGGGCAAAATCCGGAGTTCTGGGAGCCAGCCCAGTCTGCGGAGGCCCAGATAACCCTCGCACCATCCTCAGCACCCACCCCCGCCACGCTTGGGCTTGGGCCGGGGATCCTCCAGTGCCTCCCGGTGAGGAGCGGATTAACATCTGATACCTTTTCTGTACCACCTCCACCCCCAACTAAGGGCAAGGCGACCCAAAGGCCCCCCCACCCCCGCCCCCAGCGCTGACAGAGGAGAGGTGGGACCCTGCTCTCATTCTCCCTGGGGGCTGCTTTCTCAGCAGGAGCAGGCAGCCAAGCGGAGAAATCGGCTCCAGCGAAGGTGAGCCCCTTCCTCCCCAGGTTCAGGGCAGGAGACCCTACTGAATCTAGAGAGAGATGCTCCCAGTGGGCCCAGCTAGTAGGCGGGACTGGCTGCCTTTGCTTTTACTCCCCTGCCCCAGTTACTTGGGGCTCTTTCACCCACTTCACTGGACTCTGGATCAGATTATTGGTCACGAGCCAAAGGACAGGATGGAATGACAGGGCCTGAAGACTCTTGGGTCCCCACCAAGTTTACAGCATCTCCTGAGTTAAGTGGGTGGGAAGGGATAGGGAGCAGTTCCATCCCCCTCAGATGAGCAGGAGCAGAGGGCCCAGGGCTCAGGGGCCCCTAGGCTGTTTTCCAGCGTGGTGGCACCATCACCAGAGAACTGGTTAGAAATGCAATCTCAGGCCTCCACTCTAGACCTCCCATCCACTGTCCCCTCCTCTGGCAAGGGGCCCAGCAAACCCTTTCAACAGTCCCTCCAGGTGATGCTGCTGAGGTGTGAGGTCCTTCACCCTGAGGGCACAAGGGCATAATGGTTTTCCTACCACACTGCCAGGCAGAGCTTTGCAGTGCTTCATGGGGCTGTCCTGGGACTGCAAGATGGAGGGGACAATGGTGATGCAGCTGAGGCCAGCCCTGAGCCAGCAGAAGAACCCTTGGGTGAGGAACAGCCCCATGGAGACCAGACAGACTATGGGCAAGGGCCCCAGAGTCCCCGGAAACAGGAGCAGAGGCAGCACCTGCGTCTCATGGTGGAATTACTGAGGCCGCAGGATGACATCCTCCTGGTAAGGGGTACCATCCAGAGCTCACTGAGAGGGCAGCAGCCCCTGAGGGTTAAGGGAGAGGAGGGAAGGGAACCAGCATGTATGCCTATTTGGGGACCAATGAATGGCATGAGGGCAGGCACCATGGGGAGTGTAGGGGTCCCTAATGACCCTGCTGTTTCAGGTACAGAAGTTTTGACAGGGCCAGGTCATGTCTGCAGGTCTCTTAAGGGCTGGGAAGGTGTGTCCTGTGTGAGCCAGCAGGGCCAAACTATGTCCGAGGACTGGGAATTACACAGAGGCAGGTTTCTGTTCAAGTAGCTGGAGACTTTTTCTGACTGGAGTTGCCCCTGCCTGGACCAGAGCACAGGGAAGGCTTGCTGAGCCCTCACAGGGCTCAGGCAAAGGGAAGGAAGACTCCAGCATCCACTGGGATGGGAGTTCAGGTGGGAATCTGAGGACTGGTTCCTAAATGCCCTGGGGACAGCTCACTGTCTGTGGCCAGAGGTGAAAAATAAGATTAAATAAGTCCTCCATGAGACTGAATTTATAACAGAAGCACTGTCCTTTATGGTGAGATTACATTCTTAATATTTCTTTGGTGATAAACATTTGAGTGAAATTCTGGCAACGGTAATTGATGAGTTTTTAACAAAACATCCTTCATAGGCAGAAATAAAAAACAGGCAACCTATGTCAGTCCCATTCCCTCCTTTTTGCCACAGACCCCCCCTTTTTTTTTGAAACAGAGCCTCAAGCTGTCCCACTGGGTAGAGTGCTGTGACATCACCGCTCACAGCAACCTCCAACTCCTGGGCTTAAGCGAGTCTCCTGCCTCTGCCTCCCAAGTAGCTGGGACTACAGGCACCCGCCACAATGCCCGGCTATTTTTTGAATGCAGTCATCATTGTTGTTTGGCGGGCCCAGGCTGGATTCAAACCCGCCGGCTCAGGTGTATGTGGCTAGCGCCTTAGCCACTTGAGCCACAGGTGCTGAGCTGACTCCTCCCTTAAGAAAGATCTTTTTGAATATTTTGTTGGATTACAAATCCACAAGTTGGGAACCATGGGATTGTAACCACTGATCCTGGATCTGGAAAGAGGGAGAATGGGAATGGAGAAATGGGGGCAGTGCTATTCTGGCCTGGGGGTGTTCCAGGTGGAGTCAGGGGCACAGGGTCCTTGGACCACTGTGACTCTGGGCACATCTTCCCCAGGCAGCCCAGCTGGAGGCAGCTCGGCCTCCCCGGCTCCGCTACCTGCTGGTAGTTTCCACACAAGAGCATCTGAGCAAGAATGAGACGGTTCTCCTGGGGGTGGATTTCCCTGACAGCAGGTGGGAGCAGGGAGAGGAGGGGAGGGGGCAAGGAATTGAGGTGCTGGGGGACAATGGCTTTTCTTTTGTCCTCTGCCAGCTCCCCCAGCTGCACCCTGGGCCTGGTCTTGCCCCTTTGGAGTGACACCCAGGTGTACTTAGATGGAGATGGGTAAGAGATGGCAACTGGAAAGGGGAAGGGCAGAGGAGGGGCCAAAGGGTAGAATACCAGGTGTGCAGAGGTGATGCAGTGGCTGGGCACTGGGGAACACAACTCTAGGCTGGGAGTCTCGGGCCAGGGGCCTACTCTCAGCTCCACCTCAGATCTGCTGTGTGATCCTGGGCAAGTCACCTAATTTCTCTGGGCCTGGACCTCCCCCATCTGGCAAATGGGCAGGCTCTCTGTCCCAGAACTTCAAGTATGATTCCACCCCAACCTGGTTTCCTGCAGGGGCTTCAGCGTGACATCTGGTGGGCAGAGCCAAATCTTCAAGCCCATCTCCATCCAGACCATGTGGTAAGGGCTGGCTGAGAATCTCCTTAGGTAGTGGCTACAAGGCCTGGGTAAGGGCAGCAGGGAGGACAGCATGACCTAGTCTCTCCTCCTTTCCCAGGGCCACACTGCAGGTGCTGCACCAGGCATGTGAGGCAGCTCTAGGCAGTGGCCTTGTGCCTGGTGGCAGTGCCTTCACCTGGGCCAGCTACTACCAGGAGAGACTGAACTCAGACCAGAGCTGCCTCAATGAGTGGATGGCCATGGCTGATCTGGAGTCTCTGCGGCCTCCCACCACCGAGCCTGGCCAGTCAGTGTGCAGGGAGGGAAGGGCCTGCATGGAGGGGGAGGACAGGAAAAGGCAGAGGGTTGCCATGGTGGAGAGGGAAGTGGCCCCTGACTAAGGGTTTGGCTGCAGGTCCTCAGAACAGGAGCAGATGGAGCAGGCAATCCGTGCTGAGCTGTGGGAAGTGCTGGACGCAAGTGACCTGGAGAGCATCACTTCCAAAGAGGTGGGCACAAGGCTGAGGACCAGAGACCCTTCTCCAGGCTTGAGCCATTCCAGGATGCCTTGGCATCAGCCCCAGTCTGTCTAAATGGGACAGGGAGCTAACCTCAGAGGCCCAGAGGGACGGTGGGGAGTCAGAAACCCAGAAAGTATCCTGAGCCTCTCCTCCCCTTGGGCTCTGCCCACAGATCCGCCAGGCTCTGGAGCTACGCCTGGGATGTCCCCTGCAGCAGTACCGTGACTTCATCGATAACCAGATGTTGCTGCTCATGGCACAGCAAGACCGGGCTTCTCGCATCTTCCCCCACCTTTACCTGGTGAGCTGCAGGCTGACAGAAGGGGAACATAGGGGACAGCTTAGAGCTGGGCCGGGGAGGAAGGAGAAGTGGGGGGAGCTCAGGAGAAATGGGGGGATCTGAGGGGCAGGGGCCGGGGGAGGAGAACTGTGCTGCTCCCCTCTCCACAGGGCTCGGAGTGGAATGCAGCCAACCTGGAGGAGCTGCAGAGAAACAGGTAATGTCAGGGCCCCCTCAGGCCTGCCACCTGCTCTTCCCTTCTCTTGGCTACCTCACAAAGGGCAACCTGGCCAGCTTCAGAAACCCCAGACCACCCTCAGTAGCTGCCACCCTCTGCTCCCACTTCTATCCCTGGGGCTGTCACCCTCGCATGGGCTCTTAGGCCAGGATAGGACAGTAACCCTGCTGCCCTGCTGGCCAGGCCCCAGCCCACTCTTCTGCCCTCCCCACACAAGTATGGAAATAGAAATCTCCAACCATGCTGAGAGGAGCAGCAGCAGGGCCCTTGCTGCAACTGCCTTTTCCAAGGAGGGAAAGGCTCCTTTCCACCTGACCCTCTCTTGGGAGAAGGAACTGCCCTTCTCTCAGTGGGGACCTGGCTGCCTGCTGTGTCATCTGCCTGCCATGGGCCTCTGGGAGGCATGCTGTCTCCCATCTCCCACTGCTGCAGATCCACACACTTGCAGCTTAGCTCAAAAGCTGTTCTCTGGGAAGCTCCTGTGGCTCAAGGAGTATAGGGCGCTGGCCCCATATACCGGAGGTGGCGGGTTCAAACCAGGCCCCTGCCAAATAAACAAACAAAAAAAGCTGCTCTCTATCTCTCAGAGTAATAGAAGGGTCGTGTTGTAGTTAATCCCAGCTATCTGGGCTAGATGAGGAAACTCAGGCCTAGCAAGGTAAAATGGTTTGTTCGTCATAGTCATCTGACAATTGGGTCAATTCTCTTCCCACCATAACTGCTGCCTCTGCCTGCCTGGGAACTAAGAACCAAACAGAGGGACCCAGGGGTTGCCGGGCCCAACGACCAATGGCCCTGCGGCTCCTGCCCACATCAGCCTAGCCTTAGGCCCTCTGGGACAGGGTCACCCACATCTTGAACATGGCCCGGGAGATTGACAACTTCTACCCAGAGCGCTTCACCTACTACAACGTGCGCCTGTGGGATGAGGAGTCAGCCCAGCTGCTGCCCCACTGGAAGGAGACACACCGTTTCATTGAGGCTGCAAGGTCAGCTCCTCCCGGCTCCTGCTGCCTACCCAGTCGTGCCTTAGCTTCACTTGGTCCCCAGTATTCTCCCCCTGCACACTCTGCCACCACTCTGCGACCCTTCTAGCTCATAGTATCCTTACTTTGTCTGCTCCTAGTCGTAAGACCCTCAGAGAGAGGGGGGCAGGCAACTGACAATGTCCTGCTTCCACAGGGCACAGGGCACCCGGGTGCTAGTCCACTGCAAGATGGGTGTCAGCCGCTCGGCGGCCACGGTGCTGGCCTATGCCATGAAGCAGTATGGCTGGAGCCTGGAGCAGGCACTGCAGCATGTGCAGGAGCTCCGGCCCATCGCCCGCCCCAACCCTGGCTTCCTGCGCCAGCTACAAACCTACCAGGGCATCCTGACTGCCAGGTATTGAGTGGGGAGAGGGTGTGTATATGCTGCTGGTGGCTGCTGGGTCACTCAGAGCTGACTCAGGGCCACCTTCTCACAGCCGTCAGAGCCACATCTGGGAGCAGAAAGTGGGTGGGGTCTCCCCAGAGGAGCCCCTGACCCCTGAAGTCTCTACACCATTTCCACCTCTTCCGCCAGAACCGGGGGGCGGTGGGGAGGTGAAAGCCATGGGCTTGGAGAAGAGCCAGGCAGCCTCAAAAGAAGAGTCTGGGCCACGGCCCCGTATCAACCTCCGCGGGGTCATGAGGTCCATCAGTCTTCTGGAGCCCTCCTTGGAGCTGGAGAATGCTTCAGGAACGGGTTACCTGCCAGAGGTGAGGCCTAACCCAGGAGAATTCAGTCTGCAGTGGCCAGGGCCACAAGGAGATAAGAGGGGGAAAGACCCAGACTAGTTCTTGGCTTTAGGCTCCGAGGAAGGGGCCCCCCGTGCAAGGGTCTCCTGAAAGGTCGGGCCCCCTAAGAGCCTGGTCCTTGCCTCCCCACAGTCTGCCCAGTACCCTGTAGCACATCCAGCACCCTCCCCAAGCTAAGCTCCACAGCCAACCTGAGGGGCAGCAGGCAAAGGATGGGGTGTGGAGGGGTGGAGGGGTCTCAGCACTCAGTCCACCCAAGTACTGGCTAAGTGAACACTGTCTAAGTGCTGCAGGGTGCAAAGTTGAAACTGGGGCTGGCCCTGGCCTTAGGAAGTCAGACTCCAGGCCAGAGGTTAGAATGTGAGTGCAGGGCATGGGTGGGGGGATTTTGGGGGACCATGGAGCACTGATGGATGCATGTGGGTGTGGACAAAGGTAACAGGGTCCTGATAGCACGGACACCTGCATCCACACAGCGTAGCACCAGAGGGAGTTTCAGCTGCAGCTTACTGGTGGACCACACAAAGGCAGAGGAGGGGAAGAGGAGCAACGGGCCAGAGAGGCCCAGGCCTGCCAGGAGTGGAGGCGCAGGAGGGCTGAGGAGGGCTCCTGGGGGCCAGCAGGCAGCTGGGTCTCAAGGAGCAGGGGCAGAGGAGCCGGAGTGTTGCCTGCCTTCCTTGGACTGCCTGGTTTTTCCATAGCATTCAGCAAATGTCCTGCACCTGCCCTTTCCCCTGCTCTGTACTCAATACTGCCTGGAGAGCCTTTTCACAGCTCTTCCTGACACTCTCGTCCATGCAGGTGTTTTCTCCCCATGAGTCTTCAGATGAAGAGCCTCCACGGCCCTTTCTTCAGCTCTCAAGGGCCAAGGGAGGCCAGTGGGCCCGCAAGGGGCCTTGGCCTGCCCTGAAATCTCGCCAGTCTGTGGTTGCTCTCCATAGTGCTGCACTGGTGGCCAGCCGGGCCCAAGCCTTCCAGGAGCAGGGCCAGGGGAAGAGGCAAGAAGAGGCTGGCATTCCCTGCATGCTCAAGCCCCGAAAGGTGGTGAGGCAGGCCAGCGTGGATGACAGTGGAGAGGAGGGTGAGGCCTGAGCCTGTACATGCTCATGTTCCCCTAGACCAGCAGTTCTCAACCTATGGGTTGCAACCCCTTTTTTTCATTTGTAACAACACAGCAATTAGGAAGGTTGAGAACCACTGCCCTAGACACTAAATAGCGGATCCACAGCTCCTCAGAGGAACCCTCTCACACCTCTACCCACTACTCTTAGCTCTTTCCCCTGGTGCTCCCAGAGCTGCCACTACAGCTTCACCTCCTACAGCCTTAAGTCTCAGACCCATGCCCATCTGTCCAAGGGCTCAGGCTTTCTCTGTAACTGGGATGTGGCAGAGAGACTGCATGTGCCTTTGAGGGGCATTAGCAACCCTAGTTTCATTCTCAACTCTTGCCCTGAGACCCACAGCCATAGAATAAACACAGCTTTGCAGTGGGGAAAGGCTCATGCCTCTTCTCACCTTCCCATGTCATTCTGGAGCCAGCTAGGCCAGAGGCAGACAGGAACCTCAGTTCTCAGACCTGGGAGGCCTGAGGGGGCTTGCAGGCCACCTCACTGGCCCACCTCACAATTGGCCTTAGTCTTCTGCCACTGTCCCCAATCCTCTCACAGCACCACACTGGGTCACAGAGCACCAGGCCAAAGAGAATCATCTTTCTGTCCTTCATGGCCTGTGGCCAGTCAGTTTTTCATAGTCTTAATAGATCTGGTTTTGTTCTGAGAAATAAACATTTTCATATTATTTTCAATTTTACAATAAAAGCCATTTGTCTATCAGATCTTGCTCTGCTTACATGAGAAGTTTGGCCTCTCCTCATTCCTGACAGTTTCTTCACAATTCCAAGGTATATTTGCCAGACCTGTTGGTGGGTGGAGTGAGGTGGAAGGAAGAACATGAAGAAAGGAGGAGAGGCCAGTGCTATCTCCCTCATCTCCTAGGGCAGGGCCTAGGTAAATGGACAGCAGGCATGTGGCTCTGATGGGACAGCTAAAGGGAGTTACCCAAGAGGAAGTATAAGCTGCTGCCACCTGGAATAAGACCAAGCCAGAAGCTAAGACTCCTTTTGACCATTTGGTGCTAGTTCTAGAGCAGCAGTTCTCAACCTGTGGATCACGGCCCACAGGAACTGTATTAAAGGGCCCCCGCATTAGGAAGGTTGAGAAACACTGTTCTAGAGCATATTTTGTGTCCTAAGAATCCAAATCCCCAAAAAGCCCAATTTCCCAAGCCAGCCATTGCTGCCTAAGAAAGAAGGTGCTTTGACCACTCCTGCCGGGGGTTCCTTCTGTTCAACTTAAGTGTTCAAGAAGAGTTAGTGGTTCCATTGTTGTTACTTCTATCCCTTCTTCCTCTCTCTACCCTAGGACACACTACACTGCTTTGGGGAAGAGGTGGTACCCAACTCCATCCCTCAAAGTAGGCCTCAGAGGTAGGAGCTGGCACCAGACATGCTCATTGAGACTTCATATCCAGTTTTTTTTATTTATTGAGATAGAGCCTCACTTTGTCTCCCTCAGTAGAGTTCTGTGGTGTCATAGCTCACAGCAACCTCAAACTCTTGAGCTCAAGCAATTCTCTTGCCTCAGCCTCCCTAGTAGCTGGGACTATAGGTACCTGCTACAGCACCTGGGTATTTTTTGTTTGTTTTAGCAGACCCAGGCCAGGTTCAAACCCACCAGCCCTGGTGCATGTGGCTGGCACCCTAACCACTGAGCTATGGGTGCCCAGCCTTCATATCCAGTTTTAAGAATGAATTTCAGCCAGACCCTGGCAGGACTCCCAGCACTATTCTAACACTCAAGTGGTGAGGGAAGGAGAGTTGGGTTCTAGCTATGGCTTTAACACTTGTAAGTTACTTCACTTTGAACCTTCCTGTAAAACAAAAGCACTAGACCAGGAAATCCTTAAGTACTCCTCCCTCCTTTGATATATTTTTAAACAATACATATCACCTTTACATTGCTAGAATTCATTCTCTCTCATATTCTCCAGAAGAGGAATTATTTGCACCTATTGTAGTGGCAAGTGTAGGCTCACAAGGTGGGGTATAGGGAATCTACTTCTGATTCCTGACCATCCTGCTGAGCATGCACTAAGAGCTGTACCCCATTCTACAGCCAACTAGGAGTCCCAGACTGCCCTTTCAGTAGTCTTAGGCTAGGACTGCAAGTGGGAGGGGGTGACAGTTTCAGGAGGGAAGCCAACACCAAGCCCTGTACTGCAGGCCATGCAGCTGAGAAGGCAGGGTTCAATCATGAACTAAGACCTTTAAAACTGAGTAGAATCCATGAGGACTCTGAGAAGTCAGAATTCAGTAAGCAAAAAAACAAAGACTGGAGAGAAAACTATTTGCTTAGAAAATATGGACAGGATGGATGGCTCATGCCAATAATCCTAGCACTTCAAGAGGATCACTTGAGATCAGGAGTTTGAGGCCAGCCTGAGCAATATAGTGTATAGAGCAACAGCTTGGCTCTACAAAATAATATAGAAAAATTACCCAGGCATGGCAATGTGTCCCTATAATCCCAGCATGCATCTGTAGTACCAACTACTTGAGAGGCTGAGGCAGGAGGATCACTTGAGCCCAAGAATTTGAGGTTGTTGTGAGCTAGAATCATGCCACTGTACTCCAGCCTGGGCAACAGTGAGACCTTGTCTCTTAACAAAAATAACATAACATTACATAAAATAAAATGAAACAGTAAAGATGTGCCTCATTTAAAAAATAAACCACACATTCTTCAATGATAGGCTGTTATGAAAATAAGTAAATAAGGAGGCAGTGCCTGTGGCTCAAGGAGTAGGGCACTGGCCCCATATGCCGGGGGTTGCGGGTTCAAACCCAGCCTCAGCCCAAAACTGTAAAAACAAACAAACAAAAACAGTAAATAAGTAAATAAGGCTCAGCACCTGTAGCACAGTGGTGGTGGTGCCAGCAGCATACACCAAGGGTGGCAGGTTCGAACTACAACAACAACAACAAAATAGCCAGATGTTGTGGTGGGCACCTGTAGTCCCAGCTATTTAGGAGGCTGAGGCAAGAGAATTGCTTAAGCCCAAGAGTTTGAGGTTGCTATGAGCTGCTCTACCAAGGGCAACATAGTTAGACTCTGTCTCAAAAAAAGAAAAGAAAGAAAAGGAAAAAAAGAAAGTAAGTAAATAAATAAAACCCACATATATTCCATATAATGGAAACCATTTATTTACTTGGTCATTAATTGATGAACATTTAAGTTGTTTACAGCTTTTTCCCCCATTCCAAGTAACGGTTCATTAAGTACCCTTATATATATGACCACTAAATCTGTCCGACATATTTCCAGAATTGCTGAAGCAAAGGCTATGTGCATTTTTAATTGGACAGGCATTGTCTAATTTACAGTGAATAGGAATGCCTTTTTTTTTTTTTTTTAAGACAGTCTCAATATGTGGCCCTCGGTAGAGTACCCTGGGGTCACAGCTCACAGGAACCTCAAATTCTCGGCTTAAGCAATTCTCTTGCCTCAGCCTCCCAAGTAGCTGGGACTACAGGCTCCCGCCACGATGCCCCGCTATTTTTTCGCTGTAGTTATTGTTTTTAGCAGGCCCGAGCCGGTTGGAACCCACCAGCCTACGGGCACCGAGCCAGGAATGCCTATCTTCTTCAAGGCCTGTCCAGATATGTTATCCCCTTGCAACATTCCCAGAGGGAGAAAGGGCAGGCATTATAATAACCACCTTTTCAGAAATGAGGAAACTGAGACTCAGAGAAGTAACTAGTTCGTCTATAACAAAACCTGAATTAGACAACTCAGGGTTGGAGAAAGTGATTCCTGTGCAGTCAACTCATTGATTTCACAGTTCTGCCCAAGCCGAGCTCTGGGTCCAGAAGCGCTAGGAACTTCCGGGAGGGTCAGGATGGTCCCTGCTCTGGGAGTTCCCTCCCATTCAACTACCACCCGATACAACAGCCTCTTAGCAGCGGGAGCCGTCGACCTGCCGGACTTGGAACATCAGATGCGTCCAGGAGCCTGAGTCTCTGGTCATCCTGGGCCAGTTCCCCCCACGTCAGAGCGTTCTCCCACCCAGGGTAGGGCCAGGCCTCGGACGCCGCCGCTCTGACCCCATTCACGACAGCCCCTTGTTAGGCCAGTTTTTCGAACAGAAAAATCAAACGCGCTAAGGAGACCGCGCTCCCGCCCCCCACCCTGCATCCCAGATCCTTCGGAGCTGTAGTCCAGAGACGCTCCCTTTCGGGCCTCCGCGGGCTTTACTGAACCTGCAGGTGAACCTGGTGTGTCGAAACCGATTGCGACTTTCGGGCGCCCTCTTGCGTCGGTTCCTCCGGCCTCCAGCAATAACGTGAAACCGCATTTCCCAGCGTGCCTCGCGCGTCTACGCAGGCGCAGCTTCCTCTGGTTTCCTTGGGAACATCACCCTCCAGAGTACCAGATCCTTGACTCAGCGGAGCGAGGTGTTTCTTCTTCCTGAGGTGTGCTATCTCGGGTAAGGTTGAGCGGACAAAGTAGGGGGCTTGAGGGGAGGAAGCCTGGCCATCCTTGCCTGTTGGGACCCGCATTTCCAAATTCTCCGGGTGGTCCTGGGGGCCGCGAGCTCCAGAGGCCTCGGCGTTCTGAGAGCAAAGGGGCCGAAGAAAGGCTGGGTCGGATGGGCCAGGGTCCGGCTATGGCCCCCGCAGCCCCACTTGCCTTGCCGAGGGCCCGTGCGCCGCCCACAGGTACACCAGGCGCTGGCCGCCCCGGGGATGGTTTGTGCCACCGGTGAATGTGCAGTTAGAGCGTCGGGCAGGACAAGGAGCGGACGGGGCTGGATCGGCTCTGCCTCAGATCGGGACCCAGGACGGCTCGCGGTCCCTGTGGAGTTTAGTTCAGCTCTCCTCTCTGTCAAATGAGGCTGGAATTCTCGTGGCTTTGCAGTTCCATTGCAAAGCAGCCCCCTGCTCTGTGTAACCTAGAGGACAAGTTCCTTTATCTATCTGAGCCCGAGGTTTTTTTTTTTGGCTGGGGGCTGGGTTTGAACCTCCGGTATATGGGGCCGGCGCCCTACCCCTTTGAGCCACAGGCGCCGCCCTGAGCCCGAGTTTTTGTCTGTGAAATAAGAAGATCGAAATAGATGTTACGACCCTAAGGTCTCTTCTTGCGCTGTAGTATTTTACGTACAGCTGAGTTCATTGCGCCTTGTTGCACACCAGGTGAAAGAAGAAAGAAAAGGAACTGGGATGGTTTGAGCAAGAATCTAAGCCTGGGGGCTTGGATCAGAGAAACGAGTTTGTGACTTTGGGCGAAGTTATTACATTTCATGAGCCTCGGTTTCAGCATTTGCAAAATTAGGGATAATGATGGTACCATCTTAGGTTATAGAGGATTAAGTGAGATAATGCATGTAAGTTTTTAGCCCAGCGCCTGTATATAGTAAGTCCTATCCTAAGTCTCAGCTATCATTTCTGATAATTTTCAAAACATTTCTTAGCCAATGTAAGATCTTTTCCTAAGGTTCGGCATGATGGCTCATGCTTGTAATTCTAGCACTCTGGGAGGCCAAGGCTGGGGGATTGCGTGAGCTCTGGAGTTGGAGGTTGCTTTGTGCTATGATGAGGCCATGGCACTCAACCCCTGGTGGCAGTGTGAGACTGTGTCAAAAACGAACAAAACAACAATGACAAAAACCTTTTCCTAATACTTGAAGTCACTTCTTTTGGTTCTGGGCAAATCCATTCTCTGAGGCAGTATGGTTTTATAGAGTGATTTTGATGGGG